TAGTCCGGACCGGTTCCGCATGCTTCTTTATCATGGTCTCGGCTACTAATTTGACATATCGTGTCATTTCAGTGATGGGCGTGCTGATGCGTGTGATACGTATGCAGACACACTGCCGGCTTCTTTATTTCCGGAGGTCGTTAATTTAAAATACCTTGGCACGGTTTCTGTATCATATGGAGATCGGATGGCACTCCGAAGAGCTTCAAATGACTTTCTTAATTATCAGGGGGGTTTCCAGGATGGATTACCTAATGTCTTTCCAGGTGTGCGCATCATGCGTCTTGGACGATACGACGCATCACTCTTTGATGCGTACGCGGGAATTGCCGTACTCGACGTTCTACATGGCCACAAGCCACGCTTGGTCTCGGTACATATGCCACATAGTTGTAACATAGTCTCTCTAGTAGTAGAACATTATCTCATAATGTCCACATGTAGTTTATCCTCTAGAAGTCTTGGTAGATTTATCACAAGATAAAAGACCGAGTTTTTCATATTAAAATCCATTTCGTGTTTCTAAACCCTTGGTAGTAATGCAATCTTGTTCCCTGCGTTGGGTGGTTTACTCTAGAGTCTCTTTGTACTCTATTTCATGGTGGGTGAATCCTAGTAGGCTCCAAGTATAATGTCACGGCGCATACTGCTGCCAGCTCCAAAGCCTTTGTCCTATGTTCAGACTCGATGCATGTGCACTTTTAGTCTACTGAACCGGGTATGTTCATAGACTCTTTATATCATTACAACTGTATGTAGTATAGTTGCAGAGAAGACCGTTTAACGGTAAAATCGCGAAAATCGGATTTTATACGGTTGAACACGTTTCACCCGTATCAACGGTGCGGCCTGGCTGGCCTCCAAGGCCAATGCAGAGGCCTTCCTGCAGGAGCTAGGGGAGACAGAAGCCTCTTTCAAGACGAGGTCGTTCAATGTCGTCGCCTACTACGTGCCACTGAACCTGGATGCTAACAGTGAAAAGGACAGGGGGGAGATTGAAGAAATGAACAACATACCGAAGGGTGCGCTGACAAAACTGAGGTGGATCAAGCCCCCAGCACGAAGACGACCAGACCAACGTTTCGCCCATGTAATTGCCACATTCTCGGATGCGGAATCGGCCAATCGGGCGATAGTCAACGGCCTGTCAATATGTCACAAGAGGGTCTCGGTAGCGAAGTGCAAGAAGGAGCCCATAAGGTGCCTCAAGTGTCAAGGTTGGGACCATATCGCTCTGGAATGTATCATTGCAAAGGAGGTGAATGTATGCGGTACATGTGGGGGGGATCATTGGACGAGTAAGTGCTCAGCGCAAGACGTTACCTACTGTAAGTCTTGCAGGACGCACTCTCATACAAGCTGGGACCGCGGCTGTCCAACTCTCCTCCGGAAGATAGATGAATTCAATGCCAGGGATCCGGCCAACGATCTACCCTTTTTCCCAGCAAAGGAATCGTGGACATGGGCTCCATCCTACCCATCCTACAGCCGCCGAGTACCACAGGCTGAGATTCATGTTAATATGGTACAACCAGGCTCACAGAAAGACAGGTACAGGCAAACTCAACTGGGTTTCGAGCCCGCGGCCCCAAGTGGAAGACCGTACACCAGGGATTCACAGGCACGTCAGCAATCGAAGACCCCAGCGGATAAGTCTCCCCTCCTGTTTTTCCTAACCCAGAATCCCCTATAGCTCCCCCGGCCTCAAGCAACGGCTCGCCGCCCCCTGACAGTTCCACCACCCAAGTCATTGCCCATGTCTGAACAACTGCAACAATCGCCAACTAGGTTACGGATATTACAGATCAATTTAAACAAGTCATCGAAGGCCCACCTGGAGCTATACAATAAAGTGTCGAGAAAGGACTGGGATATCGTCATGGTACAAGAGCCTCATGTGACGGCCATGGGCAACATCAGGACGCCCAACGGATACATGGTGGTCATACCAGTGGACTGATATAAGGACGATGCACCAACCACAAGATCGATAATGTGGGTCAGCTCCGACTTGGCGACCAGTTCATGGAAGATCCTCAACATCCCAGGCACAAACGACATCACGGCTATTCAA